ACTCACTCACTCACTCACTCACTCCAATCACTCACTCACTCAGTCACTCACCCGGTCACCACTACCACCACACCATCACCAATCACTGCCATCACCTTTCTGGACCCCAATGTGCCTGCATCTCTAGACTTTCTGCTGCTACACATCTAGAGCTCACACACACACACACACTGTTTGGGGTCTCTTGTCAAGATAAATTTTTCGAGGACTCCAGAGATGTGAATGTGCAGCTATGTTATTCGTCGCTTAGAGTCATTTTTTTGGCGGTCTCTGAACATGAACAGGAAGGGATGGAAGGATGTCCAGCCATGACCCAAGATCCTGGTCACACCATGTGCAAAGATTGTTAGGCGGTCCAAATGACTCTGCGACCTAGAAAGAAGGTCGGAAATGTCAGGTACATCAAGACCCAACACCCTTGATCTGCGAGACCCTAGCCCCTAAGGCACACCTCACCACAGAACCCAATTGTTTTGTGTTGCCATAGTTGGACTCCCCTGTTAAAGAAATGATTCAGTTCGAAGAGGCTCCTCCATTGCTTCAGCGACAGGGATACTTGTTTTTGTGAGTCATGGCATGCGGTCAATGGAATTGCGGATTGCTGAGCAGGACCACCTTAGCTCCTACAGTCGACCGATCACCACCGAACCCTACATGGTTCAAACAGATGTCGGCCGCCTCATCGGTGACTTTGAGCGGCAGCATGGCCAAGAGTTGGACACTTGGGACTCGTGGTTTACCGATGCTGTTCAGATGTCGAATTGACACCTCGCACCCGCAACTTTTGAGGGCCTTGGGGCTTTTGCTGAATTCGATTTATCAGGTATTTGGGAATCCTTCGCAATGTCCATGATGCTTTAGATTTGCAGCTGGCCTTGGATCATGCCAAAGGCTGCCTTCCTGGCCATGTGCAAGGATCGCAGATCGCAGAAAGGGGGTGATAGAAACCCAAAACTTTCAGCATGGCAGTTCAGTGCCAACATCCAATCAATGAGCTCCCCTTCGACCAAAGATCTCAAGCCCCCCTTAAGCCTTTGCCAGGAAAACTTCAGGACATTTGCAACATGGGTGGAACCGGTTTCGGCAGTCTTGATGAAGGCCGGAAGGGCAAAACAGCCCCAGAACCGAGCAGTTTTGTCCGTTTGGCTTGCATCTACAGTTCTCGTACAATCTCGTACATTGGCACTAGATTCTGAGGTGATTGTAAGGTGAGGTTTGTTTGTGACCAGGGAAAGCATTCTTGTGTGAAGGATTTTTTCAATGTGGAAAGTGCGTGCAGTGTTTCCTGAAGAGACCATGTCGGGTCTATTGTTCAGTTTGCATGTTTGCTTGATCCAGGCCATGGCAAATTCATGAAGATCTCTTCAGCGCGAGATGACCTTCTGGCAATCCTCAACAACAAGGCCAAAGATCTGAGATGTGCAAACCTCAATTTTTTGGCGAGTCTTATTCCGGACAGAGGAATGGCAGAGGACATATTAACTATTGATCGTTTCAATAGTGCGTTTTTTTGGCAAATGATCTGCACATGACATGAAAATGACCACTAGTATCACTAGTGATATTCAATCCTTCCTGTGCGGGCTCAACTCTACCATTGCAGGACATGCTCAATCATGCTCCAGAATTGGTGTGCTTTGCCATAAATCCTTCCAGTAGTCAAGATTGCACAAGCAGGTCTTGTAGAAAATGGCCTTTGCAGCAGTCACAACACAAGAACATGCATCATATGTCATTTGTTCACGTCCAAGCACTTGTGGTCCAGCCCGTGTAGAAGGTTGGATGTTTGTCCACTCCCACAAATTCTTCCGACCTTGGATGTGCTTGGATTTGTTTGTTTTGGAATGGTGATTTGATGGAATTTGTCCCTGTCAGGGAACTGAACCAGCAGTGATCAAACAATTGCTCGTCATCGATTACACCTTGGAGACGCAACAGATGCTTGGGAAAAGAAGCGCATGCTGCGTATCATGTGTCGTGATGTTCAGTTAGAGCCAGCTTGATCCAGCGCGTTGGAGCCGAAGAATCAAGGAGCGTCTTGGTGCAGGGCCTGACAGCAGAAACACGCTTGCCACAGCTTTGCGAGCAGCTTCGGGCCTTGTTGACAGCGCTGGTTGGGCATTTGCCACAGGCGTTGGGGCCTGGCTCCAAACGTTGATGCTTTTGATGCTATCAGGTTGGAGGCCATCGCTAGTAGGTTGGAGGCCATCGCTAGCCATTGCTATTAGCAATGACGCTTTTGATGGTTTCACTCCTTCGAGTTAGAGCATGGACGGACGGTGCAGGAAGATGAATTGCAAGCGCTCTTGGCCGATTGGACCACGTTTTCCGAGAGTTGCTCCCACAAACGTTGGAACAGTCCAGAGGAGAGCGCACTCCTCCTGAAGGCTGGTCATGTTCGGGTTTCGCACGTCGTGTGATGACGCGGGATTTCATGGCACCATTATGCACCGTGCGAGCTCCTGGGTGATCTTGAGTGTATGTAGGTTGTTTGTGCAAAGCTCCAGGCACTATGTGATCGTACCAGCCGAGTTGTTGGAGAACTCAGCGACAAGTGCCAAACCTTGATGGGTCGTTGGCTAAGCTTTCTGATGATGACAAGGCGAGGTGAAAGACAAGGCTTAGGGTCCTACGGTTATTGAACATGTGTTGCATGAATCATTAAACAATATATACAAATTTCATCCAATGTTATCAATTTCAATCGAAGACAAAGCTGCAGGAAGATGTCTAGCAACTCCCACTTAGCTCAACATCAGGCTAATTCTTAGCCCGCTCGAGACTGAAATACTCCACTTAGCTGTTCAAATCTGAGTGTTCGCCCTCCATTCCGCCGATGGCTTACACAACTTGCTTCTAGTCTCCTCGCTTTCTTACAGCACAAGCCAGATAGGTGTTGTCATCATGCGGCCAGAACACATCGTTACACATTTTCACGACACGTGTTCACTCACACTCCGCCTCAACTCACAACCACTTCTCCGACTTTTGCTGTACCTTTTTGGCAATGCCTTGCTGGACATGGGAATTTTACGACCAGGACTCATGGTTCCCCCCCATGCACTTTGAGGGGCAGCAAATACCTTGTAAAGAACAATCCGAAAGGAGGGGCTTTGGGCATTTGAAGCTGTGTCATCAGTTTTGGCGATTCAATAACAGAGATAGGAATACTTTCACTCTAAATAAGTACGTTCTACAATGATCAGGTTCTCAACAGTTCCATGTGAAGAGCAGCGCAAACCCTAAACACTAAAAACCCTCTATAGATCGAAAATCACCAGAGTCGATTGGTGGGGGAGCGAACCATGCATCCTAGCACGGCCTTCTATTAGACGTTTATTTTCCATCCACACTCCATTCCATGATGTGGGTCCCGTGGGTAAATTTGCATGTGGAGGAACAGTGATGCTTCCGGATGTCAATTGATCATTGTTGAGAAAAAGGAGGAAACAAAAGAAGGTGTGTGGGCCCCCCGTTTATCAGGACCCTTGAAAAAGGTCATGGCCAGCGCCAGCGGCCAGATCAAAGAAGCCCAAACACACACCTTCTTATCCTCCTCATTTCGCCTTTTTTGTTCCTTTGTTGCTGGCTTTTTCTCAGGTCCGAAAGCCGCCTTCTTGGGTGCTGCAATAGATGCGCCGAGGAAGAACATTGACGTTTTTGTCGATGAGGCTGGACGTCTTTGTTGCTCAGCGACTCTAACAGTCCCTGAAAAAGCTCATGGAATGGGAGCCAGGGATTGATTCCCCCTGCTCATCATCATTGATTGCACGAGCTTGGCTGCAGCACTGCAGCCTTTCTGATTTGTTTGAAGCTCTCGTAACGTCGAGCTTGCTGTTTAGCGCTTGAAGAGCAGTCCGATTGAGGCTGCACTCCACTAGAGACATTTGGCTTGTTATGGCCACGTGCTCTTTGTTCTTGCTGTACACGTTCATAGATTTCTTGCAAAAGGGATACAACAACGGCAGACTGGTGTTGGAGAACAATTTTTGTTGCTTTGCTCCACCGTTTTTCAGCATTATGATGCTTTATAAACCCTAGGCCCTAGGCCCTAGTATTTTCATTTGAAATTGACATCTGAGGGTTCATGTTCTTCAGTCATTTGTGCTAACCGAATTCCACCAAAGCACTCCATGCCAGTAAACTGTTCGATTGACAGATCGCTAGATGCCGGCAGCACGCCTCGTATCCATACATATGCTTTGATTACACCCCTTTGACATGGTTTGTTTGTGTTTGTTCACTTTTCGCTCTGTACGCACTGCTTGATAAGCAAGTGGATTTGGCATGTGTGTTTGTGTTTTATGCTTGACCTTGAGCCAAGCCTTTTTTATATCATGATAGTATCTTGCACTGCACTGCACTGAGATGGCTTCAAAAACTATCTCATAATCAATAAATAAAAGAGTCGCATAGAATCGCGAGTCGATCCTGCTCAAACAGGTTCTTCGTGGGACCTCTTTGATGGTCGGGTAGCCCAGGGTGGCCAAAGGTGAAATGATTCTTTCAACGTGATCCAACTCCATGTCAGTATAAACAAACAATAATACATTCATCCATACAATTTTTTTAGCAATTCCATGGGTTTCCATGGTGAGAAAGATCCGCTTGGAGAGCCATACGCATCATGCGATATGAAGGTTTTGACATGTGTTGACTGAGGCCGTCAGCCTCATCTTGCAGCGGATGGAGCCTGTACTCCGGGACATCGCGCACTTGTCGCTGGGTCGCAGAGAATGGCATCGGCATAGCTTACAAAGATGCAAGGGGGTCTATGGAGGCCATCGCTATTAGGTCGGAGGTTGGAGTCAACTTGTGAGAATCACTGACCTTCCAAGTTTTTTCTCGTTCTGTTCTGTTCTCAATCGCTTGGATGGATCTCACTTCAGGGCACAGAGTAGAGAAAGTGCATTATGATTGATCATGTAATTCCAAGTGGGTTCGGTCTTTTGAAGTTCAAATCGTCAGCAGAGGCCCCCGTGGCAAATGATTTCTCCCATTGACAAGCCCATTAAGGCCAGGAATCATGTGTTTCATTGTACTCGATTGTACTTCATTGACCTTGTGACATAGTTGCTGACGTGAATTGATTTTGTCCAGCCAATCGCGGAAACTCTTCTAGAGGCCGGTCTTGCCGGTTTTGCGGGTCTTGCCCGTGCCAGGGTGTCTTGCAGCTGATTGACAAGATGACTGGAGTGCAGGGAGAAGTTTTCCACACACCGACGATTCTTCTCAGCGGAGCTGTGAGTGGAGAGGAGGAGGCGGAAGGGACGCTGAGTCATGGAGAATGTTCGAAGCAAGGATCCCACTCAAACTCAGACCGAAGGTCACCGAAGGTCACCGAAGGTCTGAGCTCTTGTTTTGGAAAGCTTCGGATGGCGTCAGGTGCCCGATGGCGTCCTCGGTGTTCTGGTCCGAAGTGCCAAGGACGGCGCGGAACGGATCGGCCGCGCGCGGAACCGAAGGACGCCATGACAGGAGTTCAGCTGGACGGATCCAGACTGAAACTGGTAGATGAAAGATGATGCAAAGGGTCTCGTGGTGAGTTGGACTTGTTTCGTTGGACCTAAGCCTTTGAACTTGGATATATGTGGATTTATGTGGATTTTTCTCCGTGGCATTAGTTGCACTGGGCACTTCCCACCAGGAAGCACCGGATATTTTATCCCATTGCGCCGTCCGCGCGCGGAACTTTGGAGTCTTGCTTTGCACCTGCGCCTCATCTGAACTTCAGAGATTTGCGGAACATGATCAAATCAAGTAACACATGCAATGTAAGACACACCATTGCAGTTGCCCAAGTTTGATTGTAGTTTAGCTGAGGTTTTGACCCCAAGATTTCGGAAAAGCTTGCAGCGGACTTTGCCAACAAATGGATTGAAGTCAGGCGCGCTTCCTTTCATTTCCCGGTATATCCTTTGCAAAGATGAAAAAGATAGTGGCTAGTGAATGGGTGTGTTCAGACATGTTTTGTTTTCTCTCGTCGTCCTTTCTGTTTCCTTGCTTGTAGTGTAAAACCCAGCAGATCCTCGACAATGAGGAGACTTAGACGTTGGTAACCTCATTGATTAATCTTTTGCCGGACTAATGCTGTTCCCTGAAACTGCTGGAGGTGTAAAGCAGATGGGTCTTTGGTGGTGGCCGCTTGTGAGAAGCCGGCCACGTTGGAGGCCACACAAGCGGCGGCCGAGGCTGAGCAGGCCAAGGTGGGGTGAGACATCAGAAGTCACGGATGGCAGCTTTGACAAGCCCAGACACTTGAGATGGTTATGGTTTTGTGGTGAAACTGATTGACACTGTATGGTGGTGTCTCGAAGAAGAAACTGGGGAATTGCGCTTCAGCAAGCAAGTGGGAATATATAATATATGTGAATAACATGGAATAATTTCTTTGATTGTAACTTTGCAGATGAGAATCCATGTGGGTTGAGATCCTGCTGTGGCCAGACTTCCCAGGCTGCCCAAGCTGAAGTAAAGATGAACCTCACTGATGACCTCAGCTGCTCATGGATCCTTGTCAAGCACCTAAAAGTAGGCATACCACCAAGTGGGCATTGGGACCAGCACGTCTTTGGATTTGGTCTAGTAGTTCAACCTTCGTAGCATCGAGTGAGGGAGCAGTGCCTGAACCTGAACCAAAAGTGTTTCAATTTCAATGCAACGCAACTGACCCGTTTCCCTGTGTCAGACAAAGAACGCCCACGATGAGGTGTGTCCGCCCAGATGAGATGAACAGGACAGATTTGACAGAATTGTGACTTGTTACTAGTAGCGATGCCCTTGTTTCTAGTAGCTTCTTGTTACTACTAGTAAGGCACTTGTTACTAGTAGCGTGGCACTTGTTCCTAATAGCTTGGAGTCCAGATCGTTGCTCGATCTTTGCTCTTCGCTGACCAAGTCCATTGCTGGTTTTGAAACAAAGTAAGCTAGGCAAGAGGCAGCTGGTCTTTTTCCCAAAAGTGATCCAACAGTGAAAAAAAAAGTAAAAAAACACACCAAGGCCTTGAAGCCTTGACCTGTCTTGGCTTTGGCCTCTCGTATCGTATCCTTTTCCCTATCCTTTGGAGGACATCTGTGGGTTCCAAGAGTTTGAACCTGGCGTTGCTTCGACCCAAACTCCCAGCTGAGATCTTTACGCCACAGGCACGGCCCGACGGGTTGCATCCTGTAGCGACTGGAGTTGGCAAAGTAGCTTGCGCATGCATTGTGCATGGCATGTGCTGCGTTTGCGAGTGATGACGATGGGAGGTGCAGTGTGGAATATAATTTAAGAATGAATGAAATGCTTGGCTCAGCTCAAGGCAGTTGCTTTGCCCTATGGAACGATGCAGACTCTTAGCAGCAATCCTGTTCAAAAAGCAGCGCTGCTGCCATGGCGGATGGAGTGATTCAAGTCCTCGGCGCCAAGGAAGTCGCTGACAGATGATGCCAACAAACAAGTGTTGCCTATGCTACAGAAGGTCCTGAACCGGTTACAGCCGCATACTTCCAATGAAGATGCCCCTTGGGCAAGTGGCAATGCACGGAAACATGACATTGAACAAATCGCATGAGCAAGCTTGATCCTGTTGGTTGTCCTTGCCATTTCCGACACAATTACAAATAAATAGTAACCCAGGCCTCAAAGCGTTTCAGAAGTAGAGTCTAAGTAGAGATTCATGTTCAGATGCTGTTCTGAAAAGGGTTGCAAGTGGTTGTTTCAATCAATTTTTCACCGCAAAAGCGAAGAGTTTTCTCGTTGAAGTTAGGCCGGTAGGCTTTTGAGATAAGACGAAGCTTTGGCAAGCCATTTTCCCTTCCCAATGCTCCAAGCAATGCTTTGTGAGTCGCATCAAGGCACAAGTTATCTTCGAAGAGGCTCAACAGATTATCGAGTCGATGAAGTTCCCAAAGGCACGAATCGATTTGCCTTCACATATGTTCTTGCAATGAGCAGAAGTCTGCTGTAGCAAGGGAGATCACATAAGTCACTTGTAAGTACTGGGTTTCATGCAAGACAACTATAACTATCCATAGAAGTGAGTCCAATGTACAGCCGTGCTTCGTGGTCGAATTGTTCCTGCGGGAAGGCCCAGGGACAAATTGGAAACATGTTGTGTTCTTGGTTAGGTGGGAGGACTCTTATTTGGAATCCAGTAGCTAAGTGAGCCTTTGAGCGCAGGCTTTGCCGACTTTTGTCACTTGCTGGCCGGTACAGGCACTAAAGGAGGCCATGCACAAGGCCATGGGAGAGGTGGGTGCCAAAGATGGAGAGGAGCGCCTTACCAAATTGCTGCAAGCCTGCGAATGAGTAAAGGAAAAGTGAGGACTGAGGGGACTGAGGACTAATTAAAAAGACCCAACACCTTTCTTTGTTTCCTCACAAGCAGATTTTTCTGAAAGAGAATGCTGCGTAGAGAGCTTTGGAATGCCAGAGCACGCCGATTTGTCTTCGGTCTTAGGTTCCATGAACGAGATGCTTGGACCGCCGTGAAGGGCGTTTGGTCGTCTTTATTCGCATTGCGGCCATGGGTGTCCTTAGCAAAGGCCAGCCGTTTGTCAAAGATGTGAGCGACGTGTGGAGAAAAAAGAAAGGATTTGACTCATTGTGCAGGCTGGAAGAAGTTTCCATGATCTGAATATGGCGGTACTTGTTCAGGCCTGATACATACTTGAGCGCAATGAGAGATCCAGCTTTGTATGCAACCTGCTCCGAAGCCCTTCTCAGGAGCTTGTGGAAGCCAAATATGCCTTTGTGCTCCACACGATCAATCCTTTCACTAAGGACTGCTACTGCTGACGGAAATGTGTTTATAGTGCCTGTTGTCTACAAGGATTCTTCGTACACTCTGAAGGCAAGCTTATGGCAAACTTTCAGCGGAGGACAAAGATGAACTTTATGGAGAGCTTGTGGCTGGAAGAGGGGAGACCTTGGTTCCATGTCTGAAAGAAGGTCTTAAAGTATCTCCATGAGAGGTAGTGAAGCGGGGTCAACACGAACTAGGGTGCACAGGGGGAACTCCAGAGCGCCGATGGTTCCAGTGATGTTTGCTGCAAAGTGTTCTGAGGTTGGGAATTTCCCGGGACGGGCCTTGAGCTTTGCTGTGCGCAAGGGCGGCGAGCCTCGCGTCATTTCTTTCCCCAGCAAAAGCGTGGCTTGGCAAATCATATACATGGCAGCCCAGTTGAATTGAATTTCAGATGACATCAAGACGTAAATGAATCGCTTTTGAATACATTCACCTGTGGCATTGACAGGTGGCCTTACATACCCAACATTGTCTCATTTTCCGCTCAGACAGCATCTCGGATGCGCGTGGCGCCAGTAGAATAAAACCTGGATCATCCGGAGAGTCCTGGTATATAGAGGTTTGATACTTGCTTTGCTTTGCGCACTTTGGTGGGACGAGTGTACTTCATGTTTCATGATGTGTGTACTGTGTGTACCAGTGCACGTTTAAGTCATAAGACTTCGTGAGGCAATGGGGAAGACCTTGAAGGTTTTGCTGGTGCTGGTCTCTTTGAATCGGTTTGTGCAGAAGAGGAGATGTGATTGCTAAGTCAAATGAGAGCTACTTTGATTAATTGAGGTGCCTTCCGCAAAAAGTTGAATCCTTGCAAAACTGTGCAGGTTGCAACCCTGTGGAGTTGATATTGTCCTGCAGATCTCAATGATGAACCTCATCACCTTGTGTATTGTTTTTGATCGTCATGATTCATTATGATTGGTAGCCAACTTTGACAGGACAAGGAAGGCTTCCAAAGACTGCATCGTTGCTTGATCGGAATTCGGGCACACTCAAGACCATCACACGTAGGCGGGTGCTAGACACTGTGAGGCTTGAATGTGGTCACGGATGCGACATACCGAATGCAGCTGCTGAAGCGAATTGCAGAGGCTGCTAGACATGCTTCGTTGTGGAGAAAAAGTCTGAGATTTATATTGGAGGCCATCGCTAGTAGGTTGGAGGCCATCGCTCCTAGGGTGGAGACCATCGCTACTAGGGTGGAGGCCATCGCTACTAGGGTGGAGGCCATCGCTATTAGGTTGGATGCCATCGCTAGTAGGGTGCGGCAAATCAGACTTTAGTAGGTTGGATGGGCCACAGAGAAGGCCTTCGATGGAGCGCCCCAAGATGCTTTGCTGGCAAATTATAAAGTGCGGTAGTTGGATAAAAAGGCATCAGGCAAAATTGAATGGAAGTTTGTATTGACAAGATGAAGTGTTGTGCTTTCTAAGGACATCGAAGGTTGTGTTGATGTGAGGGAACGCATTTTCATTGTGCAGAGTCGTCCTCAAGTTTGAGCCGATCTGACGGGAAGACACGCTACATGCAGGTATCCTTTTGATCTCGATATGCAATCCCTGCCTAGCTGGGGACTGCAATCTTTTAGGATCTGAGATCGCTTGTCGGAGCCTCTCTCGTCAAAAAAGAAAGTTGATGCTTTCGCGTATGCAGGACCCCTTAGGACGTTCAAATTCATGCTCATAGAAGGATGAAGAAAGGATGAAGAGGGTTTGTCACGAAGAATTGTTTGTCAGCAGGTTCTTTCGGCTTCCTTTCGGTAGAAACTGTGTTTTGCCAGATGGCGCCTGCAAGTGGTTTCAGGGCCAACGATTGGTGCAGGGCATTTGCCTGTTCATCGAAGCACCACCGGTGAGCACGTCTAGGTTATGAGTTAAGTTAAATTATACCTTATATATACAGTAATCGCTTGACCAGTATTGACTCACCTCTGAAAGTTGTATTCCTGTTCGTTGACAAGATACAGGAACGTTTAGTTCCCAACAGCCAGCTGACGCCATGGCTTCTTCCCATGATCTCGACCTGTGGAAGTTTATGATCAACGGCAATTGCTTCAGAAAACTTGTTGACACCACGGCCTCAGCCGTGCTGGTAGTTGGGCCGATGGGCGCTGGCAAGAGCACCACCATTGGGATTCAAACTGGCGCCAAGTATGAAGCTGTGAAAGAGGAGGCGAGCCGTATCAAAGTAGTAATATATAGTATATATATATACAGTATTATATATAGTATATCAGCACACGTGAGCCCATCGAGAGGTGCAGAAGCTCTTGTGAGAACTGGAGAGAGGTCCTGGCAGCAGTGCACTCGCTAAAAAGGAGCATGGTTTCGTCATACATGGAGGATGCCCCACCAGTCAAGCCAAGCTTGCGGGCGATTGCTCGTCTCTCTTGGTCCCACTTCTGTGCTGAATCTGCAATCGACAGGGTGGGAGATGGGCACAACTTACAAACGGCAGCATTGCGTCCTCCTAATTAGTGTTATGGTAACGGTTTGAGATGGAATTGTCTTGCCGCCTCCACTAGTATGCTCACCAAATGGTATTGAACTCAACTACTTGTAACTTGTACCAAGACCATCTAAGAATCTAAGACCACTACAAACCACAACCTTGGGATGCTTCTTTACTACCCTGTACTACCATTGTTCGCTATGATCAAGCGAGAGAGTATGGAACCCCCACTCACAAATTTAGTCTTTGCGTGTCCATTTTGCCAGAAGGAATCCATCCACCGTAGAATCTTTAAGGAAAAACAAAGTGATATACCTGCACATCGACAGCCCAGACAGCCCTTCATATGTGTTTCATCGCAGGTTTGTCTCCCCCACAAAGACAGCAAGGAATGTTGCGTTGCAGTATCTTTCTTTGTGCATTGGAATCGATGTTTGTACCAGGCACGAAAATGAGAACACAACGATAACAAAAACGATCAAAAACGATACGGGGCAGCCCTCAAACACCTTCGTGTACATTCATACACTGGCCCAGGCCACATACTAGCTGTGCATATCTGCGCTAGTCTGCAATGAACTGCGCCATGACGTCATGTTTGAGAGGTCCACACAGCACTAGTGTACACTACAATCAAATCCTACAGTATAAGGCCAAACGTGGAACATTTTATTGAGACATCCTCAAGTGTTGTCTACTCTCGCAGAGATTTCAGGCACGCCTTATTGTGCTTGAGGGTGTTAGTTTTCGCATGTTTTCGCATTGCCTCTCACGGGTTGGCAAGTATGTGTGGTGAGCATGTCATCCATGTCATGGAGAGCTAGCCTGATGCTAGCCTTGCACAAGGATAGGAAAGACAAGAACCGGGAAGACTCCGACTTGTTTTCTACACATTCTCAAATTGACCCTCTTGACTTAACCTCTTTCGCAAGCTGCAGCGCTTCTGTATCCTAGACTGGGGTAACAACATGATGCCTTGATGTGTGCTTGGGTATGTGTTTTCTTTGCTTTCGGGCCACCCGTTGTATGGTAGTATGCGGGCCACTTGTAACATACTTGTACTAAACTTATGAAACTAGAGATTGACAGAGGGGCTGATGCGCCAAAGGATGGCTCTGGCTACCGCGCTTTTCACCTATGCGGTGTTGCTGAAAGTTTCGCCGTCTGACACACTGCAGGGTGCTGTTGCGAACCTCCTTTTGGTTTTGTCAGTTTACATCATGGCCTTGAAAATCTTGAGTGACGGCGTGCATGAAGCATCCATGATTGTAATGTTGCAAGACATCAAGGCGACTGCTATTTGAGCTGTTTGAGCTTATGGGGCCAAGCTGAGGGATGCCGGTCATGCAGGGAGTGACCTCGCCACAAGTATTGCAGAAAGACTTGGCAATGCTCTCAGCAACATGAAACCGTTTGTGAAGATTTGCTAATTTTCCACGTTTGGCGTATTTTGGCTTGATAGAATCATTGGGATTGGTTTGTTTGCAACAGTCATTCAGCCTTGACTCAAAAACTAAGTCCGCCATAACGATTCCAGAAGCCATGCCAGTTGTCCCTTGAGCATTTACAGCTCACTACCAACGACGCTCGGCCTTGGCATTGTGACTGACTCCTGCGCGTTAAAAGATCGACGTTTGCCTTCCCCACGCAATGTGATGTCACTGTGCAGTATGAGTGCGTTCTTTGCAGCGTGATAAATTCATCAGGTCTACCATATCTTGTACAGCACTTTCGGTTTTGAGCTCTGCCAAACACGGCAACTGCTCCAAAATCTGTTTGTCAAAATCTACCAAACATTGTTATCCCCTAACGAAAGATATCCTTGCCTTCCAACAACTTGCCAATTTCCCGGGATTCATTAATAAAACAATCTATATACATATATATGTCGGATGGGTTCCAAAAATCGCTACTGGTTGCAGAGTGCCTGGTGGGCCCGGACCGGTAGGTGCTAGGGTGCAGTTCGAATCCCGTCCCCCTGACAAGCGCCGGTGAAAGATTGCGAAGCAAATAATCCATGTAAGTTTGTGGGACAGGACCATGGAATTCCCCAACTGTCAGGTGAGGGTTGTTAGATTTTACGTCGGCCGCATCTCCTCCTCCTCGTCCTCCTCCTGCCCCTCCTCCGCCGGACCTCAACCGCGACCATCCGCGCCCAGTGTTCCCTGCCGGACCTCAACCGCGAGCTCCAGGCCCAAGTGTTCCCTGCCGGACCTCAACCACAGCGCACAACCACAACCACAAACACACAACCACAGACACATCCGCAAACACACAATCACAAAGACAGAACCACAACCACAACCACAACTACAAACACACAACCACAAACACACAACCGCAAACACAACCACAAACACAACTACAAACACACAACCACAAACACACAACCACAAACACACAACCACAAACCCACAACCACAAACGCACAACCACAAACACACAACCACAAACACAACACCACAAACACAACCACACACACAACCACAAACACATCCACAAACACACAACCACAAGCACACAACCACAAACACACAACCACAGACACATCCGCAAACACACACACTCACAAAGACACAACCACAACCACAAACACACAATCACACGGACACAACCACAACCACAACTACCATCACACAATCACATCCACTATAAGTGCCACAAACACACAATCTAAAACACACAGCCACAAACACAATCACAGACACACAGCCACAAACACAACCGCAAACACATCCACAAACACACAATCACAAACACACAGCCACAAACACACAACCACCAACACACAACCACAAACACACAATCACACAACAACAAACACACAACCACAAACACGCAATGACAAGCACACAACCACAAACACAACCACAGCCACAAACACACAACCACAAACGCAACCACAAACACACAACCACAACCACTACCACTACCACTACTACGACGACGGCTACTACTGCTAAAACCTCTACTTCCACTATTACTACTACTTCCACCACTACTACTACTACAACGACGACGACGACGACAACTACTACCAGGGCCCCGGACGTTTGCAAGGTTCGGGCCCCGAAGGTCCCCGAACTGCGCACTACTATTGCTACTACCACCGCAGTACTATTTCTAGTACTACTACTACTACTACTTCTTCGACTACTACTACCACTATACCACTAGTACTACTACTGCCACTACTGCTACTACTACTGCTACTACTACTGCTACTACTACTGCTACTACTTGTACCACTACTACTACTACTACTACTACTACTACTACTACTACTACTACGACTACGACTACGACTACTACTGCGACTGCGACTGCGACTACGACTACGACCACGACCACGACCACGACCACGACCACGACTACGACTACGACTACGACTACTACAACGACTACCACTACCACTACCATTACCACTACTATACCACTACCACTACGACTACTACTACGACGACGACTACTACTACTACTACGACGACTATACTACTACTACTACTACTACTACTACTACTACGACTACGACAAGTTTCCAAGGTTCGGGCCCCGAAGGTCGGG